CTTGTCCGCAGGCAAAACACATCCAAAATTAAACTTACCAAGTCCTTCCACCGAAATGACCTTATCTTGCTGAGTTCCATTTCCATTGAACTAATAGCATTGCCTTTTCTCTGTCACTTAGCTTTGAAGTTTGGAAGTCTTTTTGACAACTCTTCTTGTGCTCTACATTCAATCAGTGGCTGAGCCAAATTGATTTTTACCTTCAAGACGCCGATCATATCCATCTTCTGTTTTTCTTTCACACTCAAAAACCTGACCATTCTCTCATTGTTTAGAATTATAGAGTTGCACACTTGAAAACAATAATGATGTTGCAGATCCAGGCCAAATCGCTCTTACATATGAGGTAACTGAAGTCAAGAAAAAGTCAATGACTTCCTGAAGGTTGTGTATGTAACTAGTGACATAAATGGGATTAGAATAGCAATCTCCTAGTTCTCATGCCCCCAATCCTTTCATTATAAAATTATTATTATTTTTTTCACCTGGCCCTATCATCTATTTTCTGTCTCTCCCCACTTCAGTCAATCCTACGCTCTTTGGCCAGATTTGTCTACATAAAAGTATTACTTTTCTTTATAAATATTTTATTGTTCCATATCATTTTATAAAGCACAAATTCCTTACTCATGACACAATAGAGATGCAACTTACCTTTCTACTATAGTTTAAAAACAGAAAATATATCGATGTAATTCTCCATATTAATAGACTAAAGGAGAAAAATTGTTTATGTGAAGCATTTCAGAAAAACATTTGCTAAGTTTTAATACTAATGTATAAGAAAAGAAACCCAACCGAACTGTCCTTTTTTCCAGAGAAATGAAAACTTACGTGCACACAAAAACCTGTGCATTAATATTCATAGCAGCTTTCTTCATAATAGCTAAAAACTGGAAACAATCTAGATGTCCTTCAACAGGTGAATGGTTACGTTGTGGTGCATCCATGCCACAAGATGACGCTCAGCAGTAAAAAGGAATGAACTATCGATACCCACAACAACCTGAATCAATCTCCAGGTGAACACATTTAAATAATAATATCGAGATCACAAAATTAGAAATGGAGGCCAGATTAGTGATTTCTAGGGGTTAGGGATAGAGGTTAAGGGAGTGGTAGATATGGGTATAAAGAGATCCCACGAGAGGGCTCTGGGAACAGTTCTGTATCTTGACTGTGGTGGTAGTCATGCAAATCCACATGTGGGATATAGTTGCATAGGACTACACACACACACACACACACAAATAAATGAGTGCATGGAAAAGTGGTGAAATCTGAATAAGCTCTGTGGATTGTACCATTGTCAGTTTCTGGGTTTGACGTTACCGTACAGTTATTCAGGATGCTAAGCACTGGACTTCCTGTACATTTTCTTTGCAACTCTCTGTCAAAGTATAATTATTCCAAAATAAAAAGCTTAAAAATATTAAAACAGAGAAATTTTAAGCAAAAAAGAAAATTCTGACTTGTTGACATCCTTTGGTTTTAACCATAAAAAGTTGGATCCTGCCCAGTGTGAGGAAAATTTACCTGAGAAGGTGATTTAATGCCATCTTGCCAATTAACATGCAGATGCTTAAAACTTCTTCATTGATAGATCAGAGATGGGAAGGGGAGCTCACCACAGACTGGAAGAAAATATTGCAAATCATATTTCTGATAATGGACTTGTATTAACAGTATTATTTTATCAACAATAAGGAAACAAATGACCCAGTTTGTAAAATGGACAAAATTTGAACAGATGCTTCACCAAAGAAGATGTATGGATAACAAATATGCACATGAAAAGGTACTCAACATTATTAATAATTAGTTGAATGCAAATTGAGACCACAATGAGGTACCTCTATATTCTAATGGCCAACCTCAAAAAAATCTCTGATAATGCCGAGTGCTGGTGAGGATGCCTCACAAAAACCTATATGGAAAATTTTCATAGCAGCTTTATTCATAATTGCCCAAATTTAGAAACAATCCTTCAACTGGTAAATGGAGAAACACACTGTAGTACATTCATATAATGGAATGCCACTCAGCAACAGAAAGGAACAACATGAATGAATCTTAAACACATGCTTAGTGAAAGAAGCCAAACGTCAAAGATCTACATACGGTATAGTTCCATTTATATGACATTCTGAATAAGACAAAACTATTGGTATGGAAAATAAGTTAACGAGGATCTTGGATACAGAGGGGGATTGACTACAAAGGGGGATCATGTCCCATATCTTCTTTTTTGATGTTGATTATGCAACTCCATGCATTTGTCAAAACTGATTGAACTGCACATCAAGAAGAATGAATTTTCCTAGACAGAAGTTTTAAAAATAATTTCTAAAAGGGAAAATGGGCGAGTCACAAATGAAGAAATCCAAATGGCCAATAAATCTATGAAAAGATCTTCAATCTTACTAATGTCAGGAAATGCAAATAAAAAAACCCTATGAAATAAAATTTCCCACTTGCAAGGTTGGCAAAAACTAAGAAGTCTGTTGATGATTTTCAGAAAAGGGAACTCATAAACTGCTGATGGATGTGTAAATTGATACATTTTGGAGAGCAACTTTGTAATATTTTTTAAAGTTGAAGATACCTGCTTTTTGGTTTGTATCCTAGAGAAAATCCAGTACATGTACACAATGAGACATGCACATGAACGCTAAGTGCAGCATTATTTGTAATATCAAACAGTGGAAGTAATTTATATGTCAGTCAAGAGGAGCATGTATAAATAAATCTGACATATTGATATAATGGGTTGGTCTACAGTAGTTAAAATGCAGGAATAAAAACCATGTGTATCAAAAAGATCAATATCAAGAACAATGTTGAGTGAACAAAACAAGCTGCAAAATAATACATGTGGTGTGCTATTTATATAAAGTTTGAACACAAGCAAAACAACACTACATATTTATTGATAAATGTGCTCTTACCAGTAGTTGTTAAAAAACTTGCAAAGGAATGGTAACCACTAAATTTAGGATGGTCGTTACCTCTGAGGAGGGTTGAAGAATGAGATCTGGGAGGGCAATAAAGAGGTCTTCAACTGTATATATATAATGTTTGATTCCTTCAAAATAAAAATATGAAGCAAATTTGGCAAAATGCTGAGAATTGATTTGTTTTCTTATTCTCTGTATGTTTTACAAAAAATGAATAAATAGTGCAGAATATCTTTATATCATTTTCTATCTCAAATCATCTCTCAGCAGTGGTTTATGTGTCAGTCTTTGGGAAACAATGCTACAGTGGCTTAGAATATAGACCACAGAACTGGGGTTCAAATCTTGCCTCTACCATGTACTAGCTGTGTAGCCATAAGAATGTCACTTCACCTCTTTATGTTGCAGTTTCCTCTTCCGTTGACTGGGTAATATCCACCCCATAATATAGTTGTGGGAGTTAAATAATGACTTAGGGATAGTCATGAGGGATAAAGACTTCAAAAAAGTATATTTTCTGTCTATAGGAAGTACTGAAAAATGGAAGTTGTTATTGAATCATTGATTACCTCTGGGGAGAGGTAAAGGAAGACATTCTAGAAGAAGTGACACTTGATTTGACTGGTAAAGGACCTTGAAGAATTAACCAGTTGTGCGAGGGAATCAAGGGGTATTTTATACAAAAGATATAGGATGGCATGTGGCAGAAGCATGAATGTACATACCAAACTTGGGGAGCATGCATGAACAAAGCTAAACATTTAATTTTTGTAGTCCTAGTGTCTGATAATATTTCATGTCCAACCTTGGGTGTATCCTTTCAAAGTGCGGCATAAGTCAGAACATACTTTGGAGATGATGATGAATGGTTTGGGGATGAATGGAAAGAATGATGATCTGTGGGAAGCAAAAATTTATCTGGACTTTGAACAGACTGTAGTCAAATGCTAAAAACAGAACTGGAGGGAAACATGGTGAACACATCTAAAGATGATCCCCCTCTTCCCTACTTTTATTTCTCTATTTTCCATAGCATGTCTATTTTCCAGACACACTTTCCAGATGCACTCTGGAAAACCAGTCTGTTAAAAGAGCATTAGTCAAATTATAAACCTTTAGACAAGCTTGCTGTAACTGACGAAACTACCTTTTTGTTGGGGTTCGATGGCTGAGCAATGGACTGGATCACTGCCTGGCTGGTTGAATTACATTCATAACCAGACTGGGAACTTTCAGACCTGCCTATTATATTGTCTTAAGGAGCAAAACAACTCGGAATGATTCATATCAGTGCTTTAAAGCTTAGACTTTATGACAGTCAAAAATTAAAATTGAATAGGAAATGGCTAATGTAGTAGTGCCATGTAACCATAACCTAACTGTAACATTTTTTTCTCACAAGTTAAAAAAATGGACCTGAGTGGGCAAAGTAATAAAATAGCAAAAGAGCCTATGGAATAAATCAAAATTCTGTGGCCACACAGCCACAACATCATACCCAACCTGTCTTGCTAATCATATCACATTAGCAACCAGTTAGCTTGAGCCAATTCTCTTTTCAATACCTATGTCCTCAGGGAGAAAAGGAGAACCAAGACTCTAGAGTGATCACATGTTCAGTGCTATGAAGGGACCTGATAGTGGAGCCAAGGCATTTTCTCCTTTGTCCAAATGTCTGAAAATGATAATTATTCAAACATGTCAGAAAGCAACATGGAGTAAGAAGGAAGATGGTTACTCAAAAGCCAGTAAGGAGCTTACGAGAACAGTTGTGCAGTTTGGTTTAACAAGTCAGGTATACCAGCATCCCAAATGACACAGGATGTGATTTCACTGCTTGGCTTGCCCTGGTTTCTGAATGCTGCCATAAACTGGTCTCCTATTTGTTTGACAACCTATGAAAACATTCATAGTGCTGTTCTTTTAGGAAACATAAAATGGAGATTGCTGGGTTTCAATGGGTGAAAAGTTTCACGAAATACATTTTTAAAGGTTAAGAAGCCAGTTTTACTAAACTACATTAGTTTTTTTAAAACTTTATAGATTAAATTTTATTTCATTCAAGGCTGAAAACATGCCTCCCTCCTGAAATAAACAGGCAATTTTCCATTTTAAATGAGTAAAACTAGTGGAGACTGGCTGAGGTCACGCAGCCTGGGTGTGAGGTTCAAGATGACCAGGCAGCTTGTGTCCAGGGTCAGCCCCTGACATCTACCACCGTGCTGGTGGACGAGGCTCATCTCCTGCAGGACTGCACACACAAGATTTCCACTGTCGTACCCGCCAGTTCAGTTCCAGGAAGCCAGAGCACTTCAGAAGGTGAAGGTTGTGGAGTGGTGCATCACACCTAGAAGTTACAAAAAACTCCTGATCAGACAGCAGGGAGGTGAGATGCATTGCAGAGTGGTGTCTGGATCCTTGCCTGGGAGTGGCTGCCGTGGGTCTGTCCCCTGAAGTAAAGGAAGTCCCCACCCTCCTGCTGATGCAGGGGCCTCAGGTTGTCAGGTTGTCCTCAATCGCTCCTCCCCCTGACCTCCCCCCACCGCAGGTCCAGCTTCACGCAGATGACGAAGGGCGCTAGGATAAGAACCCCAGGCTCGGACCTTTCCTGAGAGTCCCCTAGCAGTAGAAGCCCTTCTCAGTGTTGCTCTCATTGATGTCACAAAACACAACAACCTTGCATCAGTTGGTGGCTGTGAGTCCACCAGCCATACAGCCTGGCACCCCTGCTTGGCTGCTTTCCAATTGGTGAAGGTTACCCAGTGTGGGAGGACCTTTTCTTCCAGATGCGGTGGGTCTAGATGGTGGCCTGGAGGACGAAGTGTGTGGCCACGTACCAGTGGTAGCAGTAGAGAAGCTCCATTCCAATGACCCCAATGACCTTTCTGAGGTGGTCGTAGAAGAAGAGCAGGTCCTCGGCATATGCCCTGCAAGAGGGAAAGAGAAACATCCACCTTGCTGGTGTTTCCACTCCATGTTGTGAAATTTTCATTCCTATTATTGAATCTAAAGGCAAGCCATTTCAGTACTGACTTCAGCCCCAGAACCCCCGAGATGATTTCCAAAAGAATGTGTACAGCTGTAACGTTAGGACAATTTATGCTTCATTGCCCATATCTTCAATGACTTACCAAGCACTTTGCATGTATATTCATAATTTTCATATCTGATTCCGAGGTAGCCAGAGAAGAAAACAGAAACGGAAACAATAGACTTTTTCCTCACTCTCACATGGCAGGCTAGCATTAGAGGACGAAGAAGTTAAGGTGGCCTCTTTTAGATTGCTCTGGGAGATTAGAAAAAGCAGATAGAGAAATCCTTGGGGCCCAGATATTGGGAATCAGAATGTGGGAAAGAATTTGAGAAGGAAAATTCTTCATATTTTTAATTAAACAAACCACATAAATCAGAAGTACAAAGAGAGCTGCCAAAAGGAGAATGTCCAGTCTTGGTAGCAGAAGCTGCTTGTTTCACTTTGTTGACTTACAAAAGGCAAAAAAGAAAAGAAAAAAAACTAGTTTGGCAGAAATGCTAAAAGTTCAGTGTTTTTAGTTGAAACATTTTTTTTTCCCAGAACCACCCCCAACAGTAGCTTTTTATGCATAAAATGTTATCTTGCATTCTTCAGCGTGTTAGGCATCTTTACACCAGCGAAGTCCCTATATGTCAGTACAGTTAGATGTATTTCGTTTTTCAACCTTTTATAATTTTTTTATTTTGTTTTTGTTTTTTTTACTATATTTTGCTATATTAGGATAGATATAACACATCCTGCTGGTGGTTAAGTATGCACTTTCCCCATCTTCCTTATTAAAGAAATCCAATGCTGTCCAATATAGCAGTGTTTCCAGCTGAAAACCAATGTTTCCCAGTGTTACTTAAAGTTAAGTGTATCCATGTGACAGTCTGGATGAATGAGATGTAAGGAAAAGTTTACTGGAGGTTCTGGCAACATTTTGCTTGCTTGAAATAGGCAGTAGGAGGTTCCCCTTGCTATTCCCTTTTTCTTTTTCTGGCCTGGAGCATGCTTGTGAGGATGGATGTGGAACAGCCACCTTGTGACCATGAGGTGACTTACATACATCATGAAATGATTATCATAATAAGTTTAGTAAACATCCATCATCTCATAGATACAAAATTTTAAAAATAGAGAAAAATTTTTCCTTGTGATGAGAACTCTTAGGATTTAATCTCTTAGCAACTTTCATGTATAACAGAAAGCCATGTTAATTATCTTTATCATGCTGTACATTACATCCCTCGTACTTACTTATAACTGGGAGTTTGTACCTTTTGCTTCATCCAATTCCCCCTCCCTCCACACCCTGCCTCTGGTAACCACAAATCTGATCTCTTTTTCTATGGATTTGTTTGTATGTTTTTGGAGTATAATTAACACTGTTAGTTCCTGTTACTCAACATAGTGATTCAATATTTCTATACATTTCAAACTGATAACCAGGATAAGTCTAGTTATAATATGTCACCATCCAAAGGTATTCCATAATTATTGACTATATTCCCCACACTGTACGTTTCATACCTGTGACACATTTATTTTGCAACTGGAAGTCTGTACCTCTTAATCTCCCTCACCCTTTTCTTTCCTCCCCCAAACTCCCTCCCCTCTGGCAACCACCAGGCTTTGTTTTTGTTTTCTTTTGTTTTAATTAATTAATTAACTTATTTTTGGCTGTGTTGGATCTTCATTGCTGTGCACGGGCTTTCTCTAGTTGCAGCGAGAGGGGGCAACTGTTCGTTGTGGTGCGTGGGCTTCTCATCATTGTGGTGCATGCACTTCTCACTGCGGTGGCTTCTCTTGCTGCAGGGCACGGGCTCTAGGTGTGTGGGCTTCAGTAGTTGTGGCACACGGGCTCAGTAGTTGTGGTTCATGGGCTCTAGAGCACAGGCTAAGTAGTTGTGACGCACGGACTTAGTTGCTCCACAGCATGTTGGATCTTCCCGGACCAGGGATCGAACCCATGTCCCCTGCATTGGCAGGCAGATTCTCAACCACTGCACCACCAGGGAAGTCCCACCAGGCTTTGTTTTGATGTCCTTTAATCTTCACATACACATTTATCTTCTCTGAAAATATCACTGGGATATTTCCCCAAAGTAATGGTTATTTCATAGTGACAACCAATATATAATACCTACTATGAGCTAAGCACTATCCCAAGTGCTTTACATATATTAATTCATTCAAGCTTCCTAACAACCCCATGAGGTAGGTACTATTATTATCCCTATTGTATAGATGAGGAAACTGAGACACAGAGAAGAAAAATGACATGGCCCAGGTTTCACAGTTTATATGTGGTGGAACTAAGGCAGTCAGGCCCATGCTGACAATTATGATATGACACTGTATTATCAATCAGTGCTACTGTTTTATTAGAGTTAAACAGCTGTTGAGTCTTTCACAGTGTATTTGAATGTTGTCACAACTCTGCACTTAACATAGTCCACAGAAGTGGCTTTTGATCGCATTCTTCCATTCACGAACTTGCTGCTGTATGAACATAGACAAGCCCTTTAACTTCCCCACGTCTCCGTTTCTGAGCCACATTCTTTTCAGTACAACAGGTCTGGCCATTTTGCTGGTCTTATGTCTGAAAATGATTTACTTTGTTGTGGTCCAGTCAACTGCTTTGTAATCAGTATCAATGATAATTAGAAAAAACCAAATCCATCTGAAAATGAGTGATTCTGTGGCTCTCTGTTGACATGGCCCCTGGCGCTGCAGGTCGCAACCAAACAGCTAGCTCAGGAGAGCTGGTAGCTCCCTAGAGCTGCAGAAATGTCAGCAGGGATCCACAGGAAGGGAGAGCTTGAGGAGAGCCAAAAGAGAGAGAACAACCCAGCTGCTGAGGTTGGCAGGCAAAGGAGGCTTCCATGAAGCTGTTCTCTGGTGAGAATGAGAAGTTGAAACTCTCACAAGAGCATTCTTTTCTTCAGCGCCATGACCCCACTTTTCATTGTGAGGCTTTTAAGGACTTGCTTTTACAGGGTTACGCAGATTTTTTTAAATTTAAGTCAACATATCACAGTTCTTTCTGGACTCCAAATCAGAGTTCATTAGGTACTGAGACAACTTCACAGAAAAGCAATTTATTGGTTGTAATGGATAAGGCGACAAGATAGTATTCTGAGGTTTTAAGTAATGTTTTTCTCAGTATATTCTCCACTTTCTTTTCCCTCCGTCCAAGTGGGTACCGGGCTCTGTTCTCCTGGCCTTGCAGGAAAGAGTTAGAGCACCTCAGCAAAAAAGACAGAAGGGGCTTGCGAGTTTAGTCATTCAAAAAGCTTTAAGCTCATAGAGGAAGGAATTCCACAGGCAGAGAGGACCCTCAAAATATAGAAAGGGAGAAGGCTTTTCCTCACACTAGAAATGGATTCTTCCAAGCTGGGGGAGAAGAGTGGAAACAAAATATAAGACTCTTGAATAGAATCAAGGATCTTTTACTTCATTTCACAGCAGTTCTAGCAGGGAAGCATTAAGACCCTAGAAAGCAATGGCTGTGAGGTGTTTCTTGGCAGGCAGGTCTGTATGCAGAGTTGGCAAAGATTCCTGAGCCCCAAGAACAGTGGGACAGCAGCCAAGGACCTCTGATTTGAACGGACTACATAGGCCAGGAAAGGGAACACCTCAGCACTAATCTATATAGACCTCTGATTAATAACTAATAACTGTGTGCTTGTCCTCTCATCACTGCTACTCACTCCAATTCCCCCCAACACCCGGGCACCACATAAGATGCTGACAGTATGATGTTGACAGTCTTGGGGAGAAGACCCTAAGAAGTGACTGAGGTTAGTTTTTTTCCCACCAGTCCCCCACCACTGAGCCCTTGGGGCTCAATGTCTGAAATATAGATGTTATTAAAAAATCATTATATTTTTGCACAACAGTGATTGAGGTCTGAGAGTCATACATGCTGGAAGAACTTTAAGGGTCAATTCTCCTAACCAAACTTTTTTATAATGCAAGGATTCACTTTGATGTTTTCTGCTCTGGCCAAGAAAAAAAAAAGACACATTCTGACAGAAGGGAATTTATCTCATACTTATAAAAAGCCTTGCATATCTGTATCTTAAGATTTTGGCATTAGCTTTTACCCCTAACTCATATCAACATTCAGAGTGACACAAAGCTATACCCAAACAAAAGTCAGTTTCAGAATGTTCAACTTATTATCAGATGGTTCCACCACAATTTGAAGTTATGATGCCAGGAAGTCTAGTTATTTCAAATCTGAAAAGAATATCACCAAGCCACACCTTTCAAAAATGTTATTAACATATGATTTTTTTGCTAAACAAGGAAGATGGGAAATGTAGTTGCATTCACAAAGAATGTATGGAGACTGCCAAGAAAGCAAATAATTTTTGGAAGTCACCCTTATTTGGAAATATTCAAGTCATAGAACCATGGTTGTTTAAACAAAACCATCTACCATATCTCCTTTTGAAAATATGTACTTCCAAAATAAATGAAAAGAATTGAATACTATGCTACTCATTTCTTCTATGATTTACTTGAAAACAGCTCAGGTTTAAAAAAAAAAAGAAAAAAAAAGAAAAGACAAAGCCTGCCAAGAATTGCAAGTAGCTTCCTGTAGGCATTGTGATGTAGTGGAAAAAGCAGAGCCTCTGCAGTTGGACAGACCTGTTTGTGAAGCATGGCTGCAATCTTAACTAGTTGGGTGACCTTGGGCAAGTAACTTTATCTTCCCCATGATTCATCTGTAAAAATAATTAAATTATATTAAATGAGAAAACATGTGAAAGTGTTCATTGAAGGGTATTCACTCTCTAGGTTACAATGGAAATGCAGAATAAGTTATACATGGTTATTATGATATAAAGTAATAAACACATGCATGCCTTAATACGTGCACAAAACTATTTAGATGAGTTC